GGGTAGGGTTTGGGAAGGGGGTTTGTCCCTCAGTTCTCTGTGGTCTGGTCATCCCACAACCATGAAGAGGGGGCCATTTAAGGCAAGTTGTAGACTTGGACCCCAAGGTCATTTTTCATCTGTGTCCACTGTGACTTTAGGTGAATATGTTTTTGCCAAATTCTTACAGAGTTCAGCCAGGTAAACGATACCCAAAAAAAACCTAAAACCCCCAAACTCACTAGTTTGTTTGTTTCCATCTCATTTTATTCCATTAAAAGTTTCAGGCAGCTTGTAGGGCTCTCAACACACTTTTAAGGTAAGTGGTGTTTATTCTACCCGTTGCCCTCTGTCTCTCACCTGCAGGCTCCCCCGCTCCAGACACCCCATCGGCCCTTGAGACACCCAGAAGCCCCATCCTCACCCCCAACCACAGGGCAGGTTCCCTCCTTGCCTCCGTTGGCTCCTACCCACCAGGATTGACACCCACCTAGAGAAAGGGGGGCTGAGTGGTGGAGGGCAAGGGTCTGGGGTGCAATGAGGCCTCTGGGCCCCACTCTCACTTGGGGAATTTTCCTTCCTTTCCCCCTTCCCACTAAGAGCAAAGCCATCTTAACAACTCTGCGAGGCTGCCAACCACTGAGATTGTTGGTTCACAACCTCAGGAGTTTCCCGGGCAAGGAGAGTGGGGCAAGAGGGGGGGCACTCCAGCCCCGCAGGTGGCAGGCTGGGGAGCAAGGGGGCTTGCGTACGAGGCCACCAGGCCCCGCAGTGGGACTCAGCTCAGCAGCCGCTTTTGTGCAGTAAAGCTATAGGAAAACCCTAGCATGTGTCCCACGCTCAGCTGAAAGAGAGGTCAAGGCGTCGGTGCCTTTAGCATCACCCACCCGACCCGGGATCGATGAGGGTCTGGATTGCTCCTCGTGGGCCCTGGCTAAGACACTCATGCCCTCCCCGATCCAATTCAATGCGGGGAAATAGCTCATCTGCGTGGTACTTGAACAAATCTCTGGAGGGAGAGGGTATTTCAGCTCTGAGTGGGGAGGAGAGACGGGAGGAAGCACTAGGAAGAAAGTCTCATTTCCTCAACCATCAGCCTCACCTAGCCGAAACGGTGGAAGAAAAAAATAAGAGAAACTGAAATTACACAAGCTAATACTATTCCACGTTCTGCCCTTGAAATGCAATTTTCGTGACTTAAAGGCCTTCGCGTGCTCTGATGTCGTCCCAGCTGTGTCCCCTACAAATGCCAGGATATATCGGTAATTCAATCAGGAAATGACATATTGATCCACACGCTTTCTATAACTACCCTCTAACCCATCATTAACAGAGACAGAGAATGCTCCCCAACCCGTGATTTAAATATTTTTCTAAATGAAAATGACTTCTCTGTCACACATGAGCAATTGTTTTAATCGTTTTTCTCAAGCATTCGCTATGCTGAGCCAGTGTTCGGGAGGTAAAAAATGAGGGGGTGCTAGCACCTCAGCCTCCTTTCCCGCTGCTCATCTCGCTCTTCCCTTTCCCTCCCTCTCCCTCTGCCTGTTTGCTGCCCCGTGAGCATTTATTCAGGACAAATGAGCCAGGCCAGGTGGGATTGTTCATTTGTTTGAGCAGTCCTAGGTCAAGCTGGAAAAAAATACAAAACAGAAACAACTTCTCCTCCTGCTCCTGCTCCTCTCCTGTGCCCCTTATGACACCGACATGATTTAAGGGCCTTTTTAAAAAATATATGTTTTCATTGATTTCTTTTTCTTTTAGAGAGAGAGGAAGGGAGAGGGAGAGAGAGAGAAACATCCATGATGACAGAGTCCTTGATCGGCTGCCTCCTGCACGCCCCCTCCTGGGACTCAAACCCGCAACCCAGGCATGTGCCCTGACTGGGAATCTAATGGTGACCTCTTGTTTCATGAGTCGCTGCCCAACCACTGAGCCACACCGGCCGGGGGATTAAAGGGCTTCTAGATTTTCCCCTGTGTCTTAAGTTACTACCCTTAATGTCGCCACAAATGGAGTTGCAGACGAAGCTCGGGCCTTGACCCCCGAGGACCACAAGCAGACACCCTGGTTCCCAGGAAGCAGCCTCGGCCCCGCTCAGAGGGTCGGCGGGCAGAGCGGCTGGGCTGCACAGACCTGAAATGCTGGGCCGTCCCGCAGGAAAAGGCGAAGGGGTCTGGGCCCGCGCTGGGTAACTCGCGTGCCCACATCCCACCGATGCCTGAAGCAGAGAAACAGATGATCACTGGGAAAAGGAACCTATGATTTCTGAGCATGAACCACAGGCCAGAGCCTTAGATGAGGCTCCCCAGAAGCAGACCTTGAGATGACAGTGTAAGTACAGTGGTTTATGGAAGAGTGACCCCCAGGGGAAACCGGAAAGGGGACAGAAGCAGCAGGACAGGTCAGCAAGGGTGCAGCCCTACCGTGCTGGCTTCTACCTGATCCCACGAGGCCTCAGAGTGCAGGAAGCTACACCTCAGGGGCTGCCTGGCCCGAGTCAGGGAAGCTGAGCTGCTTCTGGCCCGTTGGTCCCTGATTAAGGTGATGGGGGAACAAACTCTCCAGGCAGTTCTGGCCCCTCTGCATATGGGCAAAGCAGACTCAAGCTGGCTGTTGGTGCTGAGGGTGCGTGACCACACTAAAAGGGCACCCAAGGGCGCTGGGGGTGGGTGGGCAATGGCTTTACCTGCTACAGCCCAGCTGTGCACAGGTGTTTTCACTTCATTTCATCTTCCCAGCAACCTGTGAGCCCCCACCATAACCTTCCTGGGACAAGTCAAGGCTAATCAGGTCTCACATTTCCTCCTAGATCAGCTTCCAGGGCCCTGAAACTTCCTGGTGTGAAAGTTAGCTGCAGGGAGAAACTTCGGTGGGACCAGGGTGACACCCAGTGGTGAGCTTGGGTGTGGATACAGAGAGGTTTCTCAACTTCCTTTGGCAACCCAGGCTGTGAGCATCCTTCCTCGCACTTGGAATCGTTAATACCAGGGCCCCTTCCTCAGATGGACTCTACATACTTCACCCCTCCCCTCAACACACACAATTTTAAAATCTGCTTGTCGCATGGCATAGAGAGGGCTATTGATATGCCCTTATCGCTGAGCTTAAAATAAATTCAACTGATTTAAAATTCACACGTTAGGGGAAAGCTGACATTTCTCTTTCAGATCTGTTCTGCATGTTTGCCTTGAAATGGAGCCCCACAGAGTTTATAGAGTGTTTTAGCTGATTTAGTCCATTTACAGAAAAGCAGCAATAGCACCCTGAGCTCAGAATGTAGAAGCTTCTCTAGGGAACAATTAGTCCGGCCCCCAGCTCTCCCCAGGAGTGGCATGGGGTGGCTGAAAGGCATGGGACTCAGTGTCCCAGATCTCTTACTTAAAAAATGTGGGGGCAGGGACCTGCAGCTGGACAGGGTCACAAGCTCTCCATGACACCATGCTGGGACACGAGTAAAGGAAAGGAAGTGGGTTTCTAATTCATCTAACAGCTGTGTGCTCTATGGGGGCAATTTTCACCCCCACCCCCCATGTCTGCAGACGTTTTCTTTTAAGTAATCTCACTTGAGGATATGTTTTTACTGATTTTTGAGCGAGCGAGAGAGAGAGAGAGAGGCATTGTTGTGAGAGAGAAACATCAATCAGTTGCCTCCGGTACGTGCTCCGACCGGGGATCAAACCACAACCTAGGTATGGTGCCCTGACTGAGAATCGAACCCAAAACCTTTTGGTGTATGGGGACAATGCTCCAACTCACAGAGCTACTTGGCCAGGGCTGTCTGAGACATTGCTGATGGTCACATTGGAGGGGGACAGTACTGGCTGCCAAACATCCTATAGTTCACAAGAGAGCCCCCGACCAAGAACGATCCAGACCCAGTGTCAGCAGTGTCCAGGCTGGGAAAGCCTACTCTCTAAAGGGTGGCATTAATCAATGGGTGACCTTTGAAAGGATGACACACGCTAGAAAGGCCAAAGCAAGTATGTGGCTATGTGTTTGTTCTCCAAGTCCGATCTGCGGTGTAATTTTTTTGTAATGAATCATTAGGTGGAGCTGGATACCTGAAAAGCAGGTCTGTGCAGGCGTATGTTCACACATGTACGCCACACCTGTGCTGTGACACAGAGCAGACAACCTTCATCTTACAAGCGGCTTTCAAATGAGCGTCAACAACCCCCTTGCTCCGGGATTTATTTATTTATTTATTCATTTATTTAAATATGTTTTTATTGATTTCAGAGAGACGGAGAGAGAAACATCAATGATGAGAGAGTCATTGATCCGTTGCCTCCTGCACACCCCT